ACCAAGATCTGACACTAAGGTGCTTGAATGCAAAGCTGGTGCCTCCTAATTTAGTACAGTACGTTTTCCAACACTAACTTTCTAACAACATGGACAAATAAAGCCATCCATACACTGGCAAACTACACTGTGTGGCTAGAGAAGTTTGCTGATGACAGTCTTGTTATTGTAACAGGAAGTGACTCAGCCTTGGCAACAAGAGATCAGACACTTTATTCAGAAGCATTAGGTCATTTCTTTTTCCCCTAACCAACCGTTTCACAAGGCAACTGGTTTTGTTTGAAAATAAATATCTATTTTGAAAATGATTTGCTGAGGGAGTGGAGTTAAGCATTTATGGTTAAGAATAACCACTCTGTTTAATTCAAGGCATCTGGAAACCTCTTGTCTTTTTAACTCTCTTAAATTTGCTGCATGTACAAAATTCCAACCCCCAGGCAAGAATTCCCCCACGTGGGTGAGTAAAGTAGCACCAGCTACATTATGATCGTGAGAATGAGGATGAGTGAGGAGATTTGTGTCTGGACCAGTAACTTTCCATGACAATTATACATGACTGATATCAGCGTTACAGCTAAAGTAAAACTACTTCACACAGGCATTACAGCTGAAGGAAATATGTGCCCTGTTGTAACAACCTATTACATGGCTTTCCATCAGTTATTTATAAATGGCACATAATATTATGCTACTTCTCCCCTAATCAGTGTAAACCAAAAATTCTCTAAATATCTGGCATCCAGCCTAGCCCAGAATGATTTATTTCCCTCTCTGCTTCTGCACTGTTATTTATCGTGTGTATCTTTAGCATTACATACAAGCTCATAAAACTATGTGGAGACAGAAAAAATAATATTCTTTTCAATGCTACACTGGCATTACTAATTTTTGCTTCAAGTACATTTTAGCACAGTTCACAACTGCATAGAGGCTGCACAAAAAAGAAACTAACTGCTCAAACCAAACTAAAATTCTCCCTCTAACGATAAAGAGTAAACACACCACCAGCTGCAGCACTCTGAGAACAGGATTTCGTCATCTTCCTAATATTTTCCTTATCTGTTGTAAGTTTTATATTTTTAAAATACCAGTGAAGAATAATACTCCACATAACAATGACTCAAATATCCCATGCAAACGCATAAATAACATACAAATAACAGTGCCAGCCTTCTATTTTGGGCAGGTAGTAAGCAAAAAAAAAGTTCATAGGGGTATCTTAAAAACCTCTATTAACAAGAGTCTTTATCTATTGCCTCCATACTGTGCTCAGAGACTAATTTTAGGTATTAAAAATAAAACTCCAGACAATTTCCCATAACAGGCACTGCAAGAACACAGTAAGGCCTCAAGCATTTTTCTTTGTTATCAAAACACACTGGTTTTGTAAATGTTTGAAACATTAAACTTTTCTGAAAAGCCACTGAGGTGAAGATGAAATTACAGTTCAGCATTATATGAAATATATCCTGAGAAACCTCAGCACCTTACATTATTTCACTGTTACCTTCCTTGTGGCACAAGCAGTATTTTATAATTCCAGCTCACTAAAACAGCAGATTCCATAATTTTGCTGCTAAAGCAACATGGTTTTCTATGCTCTGTCAAACAGCATTTTTATCTTCTAGCAGGAAAAAATAGCTATCTTGTTCCACCATCTGCCAAAAAACTACTAAACACAGGGTATGCTTCTGTGATTTCAAATTGCAGAAGCTTAAGTAACTCTAGTGTTATACCTATTAAATATAGTGACAATCAGAACCTAACATTTTCCAAGTACTGTAACACATTATTTAAGAAAGGTATTTCTACCATACTGGCCCAGGCTTCAACTGGGCTAACATGGTCCAGGTTTCAGTTAGCTGTCCCTTCTGAGCACCATTATGTGTTAGATGATTTTAACCATAGTCATTGTGATGTGCTTGACCAAGCCTCACTATCTATTCATAGCTTAACATTGAATTTGAGAAGCGACATTTCTTTGTCCAAACATATAACCATGTAACACAATATGAACGTAATTTCAGCTCTTCTGCAAACTCTTCCTGTTCCAACTCTAGTCTCCTAATACAGTACACTACTGCAATTGTCTGAAAAGACTTACTGCCTCAAAATTGCAATTTTATACATGAACACTCTCACACACACATCATTTTTTTATATATCTCAAATTTGCTCAGACAGATGTGAAAATGCAAGCCCCCAGTGTCTTAACACTTGAAGGAAAATAAAAGGACCTTACATTTCTTATTAGCCACATTTCAGTACTTTGAAGCCAACATTGTGCTTTCCTGCAACCTAACATTTTATATACATATGCCTGGAGTCAGCTTTCTCTGCGTTACATTCAACAGGCACAAATATATTGCCATCTTCCATTGGCACCATGTCAGTTTTACAATTACAAATCCTCCATTCGAATGTGCTCATCTCAAAAGTACTCATGTTTCAATGGGCCTCCATTGTACATGAAGCCTTAATCTGGGAACTGACAAGTTTCAACCCTGATGTTGTATTTTTTACTGAAATAGAGAGTTCAAAGGTCTGATTCAGCCCAGTCAGGAGCAGCAGTTGACAGGAACAGATAAACTGCAACCTGCTTGCTACTGTGTGCAACTCCCAGCTTCATCTCAGGACAAACTGACCCAAGGAGCTGAGGATGCAGAAAACATTCTGAGTTTTGCAGAAAAATGGCTTATTTTTTTACATTCTTTGTAGTGCATGATATGATATTATTTTAACTTATTATGAAGCACAGTAGCAACTAACTATATTCATGATTTGTAAAGACAGTAAGATAATACAAGTTACATTTTCACAAGGACAAAAATATTTCTCTAGTTGTATACATTTCTGATGTTTCTGTGATGCATTTTAATGGTCTCAAATGCTAAAATTAAAAGATTCTGAAAACTCATTTAGGGCATGCAAAATGAATTCCCTACAAAACACACAAGCATTTGGTGGAATACAAATATCAAACATACAGAGACTCATTAAACCATATTCTGAATATTTTTCTTTTCAACAGGTACTGCAGCATAGAAAATAAGTGGGGAAATAGAGAAGCTGTGCAGAAATTCTGTAGAAAACAGAAAGGAAACAGTTTGCATAGGAAACAATGTCTCCTTGAAACTAAGGAAAGACACAGTATCTCTAGTTAGAAAAAGTATTTCGGAAAGTGGTCTTCATTTGCCTAACTCATTCTAAAAGTGATCCTAACAGGGTCACAGAACTAGTTGTCAGGAAGGGAGAAAACCAAACTCATGAATCACAAGACTAAACAGAGAAAATGTGCTATACTGAAATTATATCCTAATCTAATGTAGAAAAATCATGCTCTTCCTAAATATTTTCACTTCCCTGAGGCTTCCACTATATAACGGTGAAAAGTGATGCTCCTCAGGGGTTGGCTTTGGGACTGGCAATGTTTAACATCTTTGTTAGAGACATGTACAGTGGGACTGAGTGCACCCTCAGCAAGTTTGCTGATGACACCAAGCTGTGTGGTGTATTTGACATGCTGGAGGGAAGGGATGGTGTCCAGAGAGACCCTGACACGCTCGAGAGGTGGGCCTGTGCAAACCTCATTAAGTTCAATAAGGCTAAGTGCAAGGCTTTGCACCTGGGTAGGGGCAACCTCAAGCAGAAATACAGGCTGGGTGGAAAACGGATGGAGGGCAGCCCTGAGGAGAAGGACTTGGGGTGTTGGTTGACAAGAAGTTCACCGTGACCCAGCAGTGTACACCTGCAGCCCGGAAAGCCAGCTGTATCCTGAGCTACATTCAAAGAAGTATGACCAGAAGGTCTAGGGAAGTGACTTTCCCCCTCCGTTCTCGTGACACCCTGTCTGCAGTACTGTGTTTAGCTCTGGGGCCCCCAACACAAGGACATGGACCTGTTGGAGCACATTCAGAGGGAGCCCACAAAGAAGATCAGAGGGCTGGAGCATCTCTCCTATGAAGACAGTTGAGAGAGTTGGGGTGTTCAGCCTGGAGAAGAAAAGGCTCCAAGGAGACCTTAGAGCAGCTTCCAGTATCTAAAGGGGGCCTACAAGGCATCTGGAGAAGGACTTTTTATAAGGATATGTAGTGACAGGACAAGGGGGAGTGGCTTTAAATGGAAAGAGGGTAGATTTAGATTAGAAATTAGGAAGAAATTCTTTACTATGAGGGTGGTGAGACATTGGAACAGGTTGCCCAGAGAAGCTGTGGATGGCCATCCCTAGAAGTGCTCAAGGCCAGGTTGGACAGGACTTTGACCAGTCTAGTGGAAGGTGTCCCTGCCTGTGGCAGGGGTGTTGGAACTAGATGATCTTTAAGGTCCCTTTCAACCCAAACTATTTTATGATTCTTTGATTCTCTGACTTGATGAATCTTCAAAGAATTGCAAGGACATGGTCCTGTGAAACCTGCTCTGACTGACCCTGCTTGAGTAGGGTGGTTGGACAAGATCTCAAGTGGTCCCTTCCAAATATTCTGTGATTCTGTGATTATTTTTATATTTGTTCCCAGATATTTACAATACCCGATTGTTTTCCTCAATTTACCAGTCCATGAGTCTTGCCTTCCCTAATGACTTCCACAGCCAACAAGTTCATAAACCAGCCTCTGTAAGCAAGTAATCTGCTTTCTGCTGGCTAGAGAGGATTTCACTTTCCTCTGTGCCCTACAACATTTCCCAATTTGTGATCATTCTGACTAGAACTTCTTGTAGCATGGGGTTTCCAGCTTTATTTTACATGCCAAAGTTCTTTTCCTAGCAAAAATACAGTCTAAGATAGGGCACAGTGATACCAATAGGAAGCTAGGCTGCACTGTTGAATCTGAAAGCTCAGAAACATTCTTCAGCCTTTCCAGTTTACATGCAGAGTTCACGAGACTTACTGACAAACTAAAATTGATTATATCAAATTGACCTTTAAAGACATGAAATCCTTCCTTGCCTTGGTTCTTGATGTGACTGTGAACTGAGGTTGTGCATGTCTGGAAAAGGTTAGAAGCTCCCTCAGTATTGTCTCACCGATGATCCACAAGTCCACCACCTACCAGAAAATGTGGATGCCAATTGCACACATGGATCTTTTGCCAGTACAAATAGGATTTCAACTATTAATTCTTGTATTCAAGAAAAAAATAAAAATCATATGCTAACAGTTTTTCATGAAATCTAAACTTACCACTACGAATTATTAACATTTACTCAATGTTATACAATCATAGTAACAGGCTTTTCTGCTCCGACTCCTCAACTGAGTTGACTATTTCTTGTTCTGCAGTTTAAACTGCAGAAAAAATTTCCTGTTAGCCATAAAAAGGGGAAAGAGCAATCATCATACACAGCTTTTAACACAATGATGTGTTTCCATCTCTGAAAAATAAAGATCCTGCAGAGCAGGCACTGTAATGGTCATAAATGCATGTTGTGAGTCAGTTCAATAAATCCAATAAAATTCTTGTTAAAACTATTGCAACAGAAGATACTTAACTACTAACAGAAGTGAAAGCAGACAACTCTTCTGCCTCTATACGAAAGTATTTGTAGCTTTGGTTTGAGAAATGTGACATATTATATAGACCAAAGAGAAAAGCAAATCTTAGACAGAAAAATAAGGCAAATAAAAGAATGAGAAAAAGAAAAAAAAAATCAGGCCTTTAACAAGGGGGTTCCCAGAGAGACATTTCCTGACTTCTTTATGACTATCTGAATCTCAGAAAGAATACGGATGGGAGTCATGGCTCTAAAAGTAAAGTTGTACAGAAAATATGACATCCAAGGACACGCGGCAGGTACAGGCAAAATGCCAGTGATGACACAGAACAGTCACCCTGACCACACCAGCACTCTCGTTGAAGAGAAAATACCAGACAATGGAATATCCACTCCCATGATAGAGTCTGAAAGACAAAGGTGTGTTGGAGGTGAGTAAGTGCCAGCTCAGATCTGCCTCCAGACCTGCTGTCTGAAACTCATGCAAGGACAATCTTGACTGTCTTTTAAACAACAGCACTGTAAATTACATTAAACTTCCTTTCCTTTTCTGTGTTGTGCAACATGCAGATGCTGGGTAATTGCCACTGGTCCTTGTTTTTTGATAGCGCTTGAAAGTGAGAACTGAACTAACAACTCTAGTTGAGTGGTCATTTCAAAAGGCAAAAAGCCTATTTAAAGGCTAAAATATGTCTGTTATGTATCTTAAAAAGTGAATGTGTACATATTTGTTTCAAATATTACTTGACGACTGAAGAACTTGTGATACCATCAAAATATTAGTTTCTATGTTACAGATACATAATATTTTGCTGTTAAGAAGCTAAACATATCTTAACATGAAAAGAGTCACATAGTTCAGGATTTTCGTTATGCAAAGGGTGACACAAGCAATCACACGAGTCCAACTTGTTTCTGCTCAGAGCTGCAACACAAGATCACTCAAAGGGACCTACCTAGATACACAGTCCAAACCCCCATTATCACAGAAAACAGACACCTATCAATAAAATAACACTAAAGAAAAATAAGGGATTACACAAATTCATAGATAACAGGTCTATAAAGAGATTTTTTTAAACACATATAAATACAGCATCTAACATCATGAGCCTGACAATTCTGAATGCTAAGGGAATACAAAGGGAACTGACTGCACAAAGTGGATAGGCTCATACACACTCCCTAACTAAAATTTTTGCCACTGGGCTTTTGCCCTTGTTATTTTAAAGGGAGAATTAAAATCTAGTCCTTCATTACCACAAGGTCTGAAGTTGAATGTCTGACATTCTGCATGCATTTTATTGTGGCTGAAGAGAGAATAATGAACATGACATACCACTGGCTTGATCCAGTAGGGCCGTCTTCTTTTCTTATCATTAATTAAGGGACTTTCATTCCTCTACCCCTACTGCAAGATTTAAAATACATTCTCACGCCCAAAACCACAAAACATTTGTTTCTAGTCTAGACCTTTCCATAACCACCTTCTGTACAACTCTTCTTTTTCCTGTCACGTTTGTTAACTAGTTTTTCCTCTCTGATATTTTTTTCTCTTCATTCAGAGGACAAATACGTACTCTCTCAGCTGTTCTCCCTGGCTAAACAAACATAACCTTTTATTTTCTCTCTCTTACAACAAAAGTTATCTGGGGCACATGTCACCTTTCTATGCTACTTTTTACACACAGTGTACTTTCTAAACATGGAAGACCACAGTTAGATATGGTATCACAGACATGACCTACCTTAGGACTTTGCAAGTTAGAACCTCTCTCTGGAAATACTTTTTTCTTACAATTTCACTTACCTTCCTGCAATTGGCTGAAATTCCTCTACTCAACCCTGTGATCTCGTGATGAGGTTATCTCATGATCAGTGACTAAATGGCCTATTCACTCTTATGTCAAGACTAACTGATCATATCCTGTAATGCAAAATAAATCCTTGATGTTGGTGCATAAATGCATGACCCTGAATTTTGTATAGTTTTGTTTTTTTTTTTTTTTCCATTGGTATTACCCAAGCCCTCAAGGCCATTTTTTTTTTTCCTGTGGTATTACAGTACAATCCATCTCTGTATTGACAACATCTCCCAGCTTTGTGCCATCAGTATATATTACTACATTCCTACTACTTGTGCCAAGGTCAAGAATGGAAATATTAATAATAATTCTCCATGCAATATCAATTAAAATATTTTCATGAAGTCGAGGAAAATCAGATCTGTCAGAGTTCCCTTGAGAAAATCTATTGATTTTCTCTTGATAAGAAAAAAATCTATGCTCTTGTCAATTAAATGTCTAAATAATGATATCATGTTAGTCTAACAAAATCTAAATTAGATACTAGAGAAGTCTCTATGGAAATCAGCACAAGGATCATAATTCTGTATTTTAAATCTGTCTGATATCCTATTAAAATCTGAAAAATTCCCAATGATCTCCTGTAATATTAAAAAATAATTAATAATCCAACAGATAAATAAATCCTAGATCTTGTTTTTCAGGCTTTTTAAAATTCGTGAAACTATTCTAAAAGTCAGTATCACAAGTGTGTTAGTATTAGGCTGGACTTCCAGCTTCTGAGTCCTTGAAAGGCACATTGGATACTTTAGGATTTTCTCAAAGATAAAAAGGCAGTGACAGCCTTTTTTTTTTATTTTTTTCTGGTAGAACTCAGATGTTCACCTATTCATATGCCTTCAGGAAAAAAGTCTTAAAATTAAAAACATAAAATTGTTAAATTTTATAGAGGTGTGCGAGTGTCAGATGCAGTCAGACATATGCAGAACTTTTGAAGGGCTAGGGAAAAAGGGCATTTTACAAATAAATATCATGCTGAGAGTTGACATCATATTGAATTTTCACAAGAAAAGTAATTTCACAAAGTGATTGTTGCTCAGACATCTTTTGTAGGTGGTCAGCACTATTGTAATTGTACTGAAATAAAAGTACATCCACTGAGATTATGATGTATGCAAGAATTACACATACTGTGTATTTATCTAACTGTCCTAGTTCAACCTCCTGGCATGAAATCAGCGGTCCATATGTCAATTCAAAACTGAAGCATAAGATGATGGATACTGATTCAAAATGGAATTAATACATGGATGTGTGTGAAAATTGAAAAAAAAAACCCTAAGGCAATGCTGATATACTGTAGGAAGGAACTGAATGGATTGGAAAGGACTCTGATATGGGTGACAGTTTGAAATGGGAGGTTTGTGTCTTGAGGTAGACCTTGGGAAGCACCTTGAGGGTTAAACAACAGTCCTGGCAAAGACTTCTTTCCTTGGTGAGACAAGCACAACCACTTATTCTGGTTGAAAAAGTCATTGCAGGTGTCCTGCCCTTTGGCAACGCGCAGATTAAGCTACTGGTGCTGGGCCCTTAATGTGAAGCTACACCAGTGATTATTCAAATACAAGAGCTATTGCTGAATGCCAATGCCTGACAAAGCAAGACTTCGTGAAGCCAGCTGGTTACACCTGAGTTTAGCATTTGCAGGAGCTGTTTACTTGTGGCTGATATTCATAGTACAACATTTCAAAGATGTAGTCAGTACCTAGTAAAATATCATCTTTATTCTCTATTTAGAAATATTGTTATAAGTCACAGAGTGCTCAGACTAGTGCCCTCTTTTAAACACTTTCTATAACACATTTTCAGTAAGAAGTCTTTCAACCTGAAACTATATCCAGAGTCCACACTCATTAACCTTCCACGCATGCCACATGGCTCATCTTTTCATCCCACAGGGATGTAGGAAGATGGAAAGCTACTGGATTAAAAGGAACTTCACTTGAGCAAGCAGTGTTTCTATTTCTGAAAAATCTCCAGGAGAGCTTATTTACATTGAATTGCATTTTTTTGAATTTTCAATTTTTGTGTTATTTTAATTTGTGAAGCAGGATCTATAGCACTGTTTGATACTTTACAAATGTACAGATAACACCACATACTCTGAGTTATAATTCGTGGAGGCAGGGAACTGGTGGTATTTTAATTATCTGCACACATGCACCATTGTGTCTTTAAGCACTCAGATAAGAAGATTTTCCTCTCCTTCAAACAAGGAGGCACCTTAGAATACCCAACTTTTTAGTGGTTCACTTCCCACACTGCTTTCCATGACACTTTGATCAGTCATTCTTTTTCCTGTGTTCACGTTTAAGCATATCCCTTTCCAAATTATGGGACAACCTCCCTAAGAGAAACATTGCTGTTTCACCACTAAAAAATAATACAATGAACATCAGCCAAAAGCTAGAGAGCAATTCCACAATGCTTTGGGCCCAGCAACCGCACAGAGGAGTAAAGGATAGAAACCCCCAAAGCTCATACTTCAGAGGACATTCCCACCGTGTAGCAATAATGAGTCACAGTGAAGCAAAAGCCATCTGTTCATCTGGACACCGATACTGCTTGTCAGTTAGCAAGAAACATTTCCACTGAGAATCCTACTGCAGTGTTAGTCTCCCTGCATAGACAAACTTTGTATTTCAGATCTTCTGGTCTGTAAACTGGGAACACTGCAGCTTCCTTTTACCCTGTTTTGTCTTTTCTGAAAACAGGCTGGTCAGGAAAGGGACTGTCTGTGTGGCTGTATCTATCTTTAAAGCTTGGCTGTGACCATGAGGTCTCCAAGTCAACTCATGAGTCTAGCATTTCTCATCAAAACCCAAGTGATCAAACACAGTGACACAAAGCATCCTCAGACTCAGCCAGCGGCAGTGCTGTGCTCGCAAGGCCTTTCTGCAGCACTGCCTTCATGTTCCTTCTTTCCATTCCCACTGCTATATTACTTGGCCAAGGTGGGACCCTTCTTAATCCTGGGGAACTGCCACGTTACATCCTTCTCCCTACAGACATTCCTGACATTAGCTATTGATGAAACTGGGCAAAGTGCAGTCATAATTAATATGTTGTATCTTGAAATAGTTAGCAGCAGAAACACACTCTGTAAAGGGACCAATCAGCCCTAATTAAAGTCATGTTTAACTAATCTTTTTGAGATGAGGACTGTCATTTAGCATGTGTTCTTGCCACATGTAGCCCAATGGGATTTAGCACTGCTGTTGCATTTAGGTGTTACCACAACATAAACAATGATAATAATAACTACAGAAGTATAAATCTCTTTTTTTTTTTTTCCTACTATGACTGCTTCAGTAGACATATTTTAATTTGCTTTACTATTGCACAGTTTGGGTTACTACTATGTAAATGTTTAGCAGCTCACGTGGGCTAAATGTGAGGGTGGCTGGCTAATTCTTTTCATGTGTGTAATGTTTTGGATCAAATTATTTCCACATTCATTCTGATGGATTAGGTTTCAGGTGGACAAGACCCAAAAAAATCAGATGAACTCTTAAGGATCTGGCTGCACTGAAGACATTCTTAACAATGACATTTAGAAAGAATGAGAAAGAACTTCTATTAAAATTAAATTTACAACATGTAGGCAAAATTATCTCAAAAGACCATCAGCATTCTATAAAACAAAAGTGTGATTTCATATTAAATCAGATGATGCCAAAAAGATCAACTAAAAAGATCACCTTTAAATTTAATTTTAAAGAAAATTTTAAAATTTTCTCCCTCAAGTTAAATCTATTTGTTTCAAATGACACTACTTTTGATTTCTAGTATGTGTGTAAGTTCCATGATTTCCAAATGAATGCCAAATGAGATTAAAAACAAAATAAAAATCCCCACATGAATAAATTTCATAAACTGCAAGAGAATGGAAAAGACCTAGAGAAAACGATTTTGGTTTTTGTGCATGCATATTCACTTAATTGTTTGCCCCTTCAAAACAGCAAGTTGCCTGGAGCGCTTAAAGCAAAAAGTGCTTTTTAAAAGCAAAATATTTTTATTTATCAAAAATTTCTTGGACAACTTCTAAAAAACTGTCTACAGATTTTTGAGAGAGAAGGATTAGATACAAACGGCAGGTAGAGAAAACAGAGAACAGCATGTAATTAAAAAACTATAATAGATGATTCCTGCACCCGGTAAAAATCACACAGCATAAACCTCCAAAGAAGACAGGCAAGCTTTGCTGGAGAAATCTTGAAGGAAGCAGCCTATCTTTTGGGGATTAAAAAAAAAAAAAAAAGGAAAAAAAAAAAGAAAATTATAAGGGTGGGGGAAAGCTTTCAAAGGCTTGTGAAACTGCCAGCAGGAAATGAAATGACCACCAGATAAGAACTCCATCAGGTTGTAAATGTATAGGAATAGGGTTAACACTTTGGTTGTTATTCAAAAGCAAATGAAAGATGAGCTTATGATAACAAACTTGGATTAGGACTCAGAAGATCCGAGTTCATTTCTCGACTGCCATAATCTCCCTTTGCAATTTTGGGTCACAGCTTACATTTCGCATAGACTGAAGAAGGAAGTAGTATCTTTTTTGTATACTTTGGGAACTGAGACCCAGAGATAATACTGGCCAAGGATTCACGACACTTTATAGGCATCTATATTCTAAATATATTTCACAGCAGAGAAAGATGACTGAGAGTTGAGAGGTATCTTTGTGCGTCTGATCCTCCAATCACATCTGTGTTTCTGTTTCCTTATAGCATTTGGATAGTAAATCCTTTCTCCTCCACTTTGAGCAAAGGCTGGGGTTTGTTGTTTGGTTTGGGGTTTTTTGATGGGTTTTTGTTTGTTTGTTTATTTGGTTTTGTTTGTTTGGGTTTGGCTTTGTTTTTTTTTCCTCATCAGCCTGCAATATAAGCTCTCAGGAAAAATACTCTTTTTACATCGTTTTTTATGTTTTTCTTACAACTCTGCAGTCTCATAGTGAGGATCCAAGAAGCTTCTAATTATCAAGAAGTAACTAGTTATTATGTGTGTATATAGGTATAAATATATACGTATGCATCTCAGATACATACAGAGTAAATATCCTTACTTTATTATTGCTACTATCCTAGTGTACATTAGCAATAATGACAATAATGCGAGTATATTGATGGGGTCTGCCTTGGGGCTTGCACAGCAAATAATAATTTCCCTGATTTCCCACACACCAGGCTGAGTTCTGACACCAACTGGGACTAAACCCAAAACACTTCAGTGGAAACTCAAGATTACTTCACAGTAGTCACTTGCTTTTCATTTCCTTTTCCCTGCTGATCTTCCGAAGCTACCACAGTTACACTGATGTGAACAAGATCTGAATCCTGCCCACTGGCAACAGTTACTGAAAACAGGAAATGGGATATCTCAAATAACAATAGGTGGGAACAGCGAGTAAAGGTTCACTATGTAGTAACGGTGCTGACTCTTTAATGACTGTGTTTATTTCCTTGTGTCCTAAAGAAGGCCACAGTTCATTTTGATCTCGAATACGTGTGTATTGCCACATTTATATATCAGACACTGTATCTAATTTTGCAGCTTTTATTAAGGAGAGGGGGGGTGTCTTCTCATAACGAGGGACACAATTAGATTGCTCTCCTCAGCTATGCCACCAAACAAGTCAAATTGCAAGAGCCGAAAGGTTCACCCCATGCCCTGTTAAGAGGAAATCTCCCCATTGCTGCAGAAACAGCGAGGCAGGATTTTTCCCTCCCATGCACCACAAAAAGGGGTACTGTGACATGAGAGAGAAACCCTTTGCAAAGCTTACAACCCACATAACGCGCTTCACATGAAGTTAGAGCAGAGACGTTACAAGTTCAAAAAGATATCCAGGGCCATGCAGTTCATTCCAAGCAAAGGTCTGACGTTCTTGGCTGAGGTTTCCACACTCCTTGTCTAGTCTCGACATGACTAATTTCCAGAAAAGGCAGTTTCACTACCACTCCAAGCCAGCCCTATGTCTAATTGGCATCACTGCTTAAGAAATACTTCTGTGCATTCTTCTATGAAAGTTTGCAGTTACAATCTAATTCTATACACTTTTACTAAGCCTCACAAGCCACCAGTGAGACGGTCCAGCTATTTTTAACAATCATTAGTCCTTCAGTCTCTCAGCGCAAAAAATGACTGGTTCATGTTGGGTTCCTTTTCTCACAGCTTCCAAAATTGGTCTTAACTAGGTTTCCCAGCTTAATACACTGTTAAATAATGGCCACTAATTAGTAATGGCAAAAAGGAAGAAATGGTCACATGAAAATGTTAAAATGCCCAGCCACACATGATTTTGGGTTTGGGTTTTTTTGGTTGTTTTTTTTTTTTTTTTCTCAGCTCAAGCTGCTTTTTTCACCATTAACCATAGTGATTTCTGCTCCTCCACTTGGGGAAGCTGTCACTGAACTTCCTAAATGCCACCAGACAAGTTCCAGTTGCCCATATTTGCTGCTTCTCCTAAGGGTGCTTACCCTAATCCCCATCTTTCCTAAAGACACTTTGCAAAGAAAATGGTCTCTTTTGTAAGGGAAAAAAAAAAATAAATAATTAAATTTAGAAAGAATAGAAAGAAAGTTGGGTTTGAGGTTTGTTTTTTTTTTTTTATTTAAATAGAAATCCAGGTCTTCTAAATCATGGAAGATTTCATGCACGGCTAGAAAAATAGTAATCCTAAAGTTTGGATACCAAGAAATGAAAACTGTTAACTTTTTGAAGTGCTTTTATTCACCCTGTAAAAGATGAGTGATTTTAAATACTTGAAACCCCCATACATGATTATTTGCTATATTAGAAACCACAAAATACCTATTCAGTTAAGACTTGTAACTCCTAATAATACTCTTGAGTACTATTAAGTGGACTGTTCAGCTGAGCCTTTTGTGGAAATAAGACCTATCTTTTTCCTAATACAGTAACCCAAGAAAAAGCTGAAAGTTAATACATGTTTTGTTTATAAATATATCCAGTACCTAAGCATCAGGGAGGAAAAACACCAGTACATGACAAAACAGGTATAATCAACTGATTGCAAATAGGTCGGGAATTAAGAGAACAGTAACTCATAATTACAGCACCAAGAGACAGAATCACCTTCCCAGTGCCAGCTACGGATATGGAAAATGTAACAGACCTAAGGAATACATTCTACAGTACTGCCCAGAAAAGGATTGATTGTCAATACCTTTTGTTCTAATGCCACTTCTGGGTGCTGATGGGGTATAACAGACCACTTTCCAGAGTGCTGCCTTCTCATCAACTGTTTAGGCATGTCTAGGAGTATCAGAGTGAAAACAGGAGTGTAAAAGCATGAACTCCAGGGTGCTCAGTACCAGGTAAACTGTAGAAATTACATAGCTCCAGGTCTGGCCTGAAGAGGTAAACAAAAACAAAAAAAACACACCCCCACCCCCCCCACCCCCCCCACCCCCCAAAATAGAAACCTCTCTTTGACTCAGTGTGGATCATTAACTCATGTTCTGTTCACATTAGGTAATAACAACAATTTCTTTCCTTACATTCTGGTTGCTTAGCAGTATTTGTAGGGCAACACATCACCTTAGCTAACTATTTTCTACGTCTGCTGAACAAGTTCATTTTACATTTACCTAAATTCTTCCTTAGTTTATTTTTGTCATTATGTCTTAATTCTTTTAACCTTTCACTGTGTCTTAGGCTAGCTGTGGTCCAAAATGTAATTTGCTAATTCTGCCAGACTGACAGATCAGGAATCATCTCACTTGCTTGCCTACTCATAACAGTTCTATTTATATATCCTCAAAGAGCATTTACTTTATCTGTGGTAAAATCACATTGCATGCTAGTTACCACCTCAGAAGCAGATAATTTCAAGTAGTGTTCTCTGCTATCTGAGAATGCTTTCATGCAGTTGACACTCTCTCTCTTTTCCCCCAAATAAAGTCCATTTATCCTAATCAAACCACAAGTTATTAATTCCTGCCCATTCCATCTAACCTCCCAGATTCTGGATGTGCATGAACCATTTTCCAGAGGTTTTCTCCTCTTCTTATTCTTAAAGCTGCATACAGAGCATGTTAATGTGTCCTCTAAAAATGCAAGAATATTCTAGGACAGACCAGGTGCTCCCCCTGCCTCACGTGGAGCTCAACCCAACTGGAAAACACTGTCTGTCACCCGCTATGGTGGGAAGCAGGTTTTCTAGGAACAGTCCACCACCCCTAACAAACACAGTTACTACGGAGAACTGGTGGAGCCTTTAATGTGGCAGTATTGCTTTTCAGACAGAACCTTATTAAAATTAATGAACCAAAAAAAAATTAAAGCACACAGGCCTTTTTATCTCTGCTCATATTTGTAAATCAGTGGCTTTAGAGGGGTAAATTGGCTGATTATCCTAAACTGTGGACAGCCCTACTTAAAAGTCATGCAACTCTGCAGGCAGAGCACCAACATTTGGAGTAATTCTACATAATTTGTACTAATTTTTGCTACTTTTATGAATGACCTAGATCACACAGCTTAAAAACACACCAAGCATCTGCAAGATGGGAAGTAAATCTGTGACTACCTCTATGCCATTGCGGGCACATGTACTGTATTAGCTGTATGGCAGTCACAAGAAATTTATCCAAGGAACTCAGTAGTTGTATTCCTTCCCTACCAATCAGCATTGCCTGTTCAGTGCACACCCTTCGGCATCCCTCATCGCTACTACATGTGAAGAGGCCTCTGCCCTACATCAGGTGGTCTCTGTCTCTGGCTGGCACATCCAAGTAAAGTTGTGCAGTCCCAAGGGACCGACTGATTTCTGATTTCAGTCTGGGTTTTGTTAAGCTAGAACATGTTTTCATTTAAGGTTTCCCAGGTGAATTCCACACTGGCACATGATTCAAAAAAACACAATTGTATAAAATCAGTATTTGAAACTTTACAACCATGTATAGCTTGAAGAAGGTCATTAGGGAGTAAACTGTATCTTCAAGTATCTCCACTAGTTCATTCTTTCATTTTATTTCATTTTGGAGCATACTGAAATTTGTCCTAATGTTCATTATCTTCTGTAGCCTACAATAAATTCCCTTCAACTCACATCAACCACCATCCCTTTGTTCCACCTGGCTGCTACAAGTGCCAGTATAGCTTCCCCTCAGCTTGTGTTCCATGGAACAGTCTCCTAAACTGCAGCATCTTACTGACTATTTCATTTTAATTTCTGATTAAAAACATGCTTGGTAAAAACACTACATCTGTTTACTTCACATTACAGTCTTATCCATTCTTTCTTATCTGGATTGGTTTTTAGTTCTAATGACGTTTTCTGTTACTTGAAATTTGTTGCTGCAGTTGTAACCTAGAACTAACGCATCCAGTGACACTTATGTTGATTTTCTTTCAAATGCCCATTGATAACAGCCTAATCAAGGCCAGCATTTAATCAGGATACAACTTAAGCAGCTCTTACTGCACCACAGTCACATCTGTGCCACAGTTTTCTTTGACTTGGTTTGTTTTTTTTTCCTATAGCAATAACCTTCATCCTGCTCAACTCACCACAGACTGGCAGAAGCCAGTCAACTACTCGTCAACTAACAATGCGTTTTAGTAAAGGACCTTTCTTTTTTCTTTTTAACATTGCATCGCCATCAGTCTACATCTGCTATTTCCAGTTGTCCTTCACCAGGAGATACTGCCTGCCTGAGAATAACCATACAAAACAAGATACTTATGTTTCAAACCCCACCTGGGCACAGTAAATCTCATTCAGTCCCTGACAAGCCCAGATCTCTCTTTCACGAAGCACGGCTAAAAAGGGGCAGGTGTAAAACTGAACGAGTGGACAGTTGCGTTCATTGACGCTGTGGTTGAAAATAAAATCTTCTCCAAAGGGAGCAGGTCGGTTAAACAAACACTAAGGATTTCCAGAGCTATGTTACCAGGTTATATTTGACTGGAGCCCACACCGCATTTCAGGCCACAAAATATTTAACTCCATAGAACTAAAAATAGTCTCGAGTAAGGTGCATAATTCATCAGCTTAAGAGGGACTTTATTTTTTTCTCTGCACTTTTCTTCAGAGGATCTAGTTTTGGCCACAAAGTAGACACAGATCGTTCTGCACTATCTGTTGTCCAGAAGGCAATTTTGGATACGTATTTATGTGTTTGGCCACGTGAAGCCAAGTAAAGAATTACTGACTAAACCAAAGGAGCTTCGTTCTCTGGATTTAGATGGTCTTCAGCACCAGCTTGTTTTTCTAAACATAAAATCACGCTCTAGTTGACTTTAATTTTGTTTTTTTTTCTGCTTTTTTACAGACTCAGGAAAACCTAAGCGTGAACATCAGTTGTTTGTTTATGGAATCGCCGCATTAATAGTTTATGAGGGGCTAGGAGATGCAAAGTTAGACTGACATTTTCACACCAGCAATCAGTAGCTCCCAGAAGACAGTAGGCAGAAAGAACACACATTAAACACAAGTCACCCTCTGTGGGTAATTAGCAACAGATACAGAGAAAAAGTGGTGAAATGGAAATAACAGAGTAGAGATTATGATGGAAACATCAGTGGAAAATTATAACTCCTTTAATAAAAGAAACACATTAGCAGTGTATGTTCCACGTGCTGGACACTCTTTGGGAAAGCAAACACCCAAATTTTTTTAAATTATATTAAGAAATCTGTATCATCAGTAGATCTAGTCTTAAAAAAGCTTGGTGCTAAGAGATACACAAATAAATAGCCGTGCTTGGGTGGAATCGGGCATGGAAGGGTAAACTCTTCCTGCAGAAGCACTGTCTGATGGCGTACGCCAGGTGTGTGCCTGCCACAGCACCCATACGCGGGGCAGCTGCATGGCCCCAGCCTATGGAGGGAACCTCTCTCTTTCATGAAGACATGAAGATCAACCTGTTATGCTTTGCTATCCAGCTACCCTACTGAAGCACCAACGATGGCATCAACTGTTGCTCAGAGGCCAAAGCAAGTCATCTTCTAGAGCTCCTGCTCACTGGGAAAGCAGAACCCAAGAGACCTACAGCATGTATAGGCTTTCCGTTGAAGCCTCATGGCGAAGACGCCAGTGGGAGTGGGGTATCAATGGCTGGTACCCCGGTTAGAGAGGCCACCCCAACACGCCAGGCAGGCACAGAGGGGCTGCCATTCAACCATGGGGGCACGGACCGTCCTGCGGAGAGGTTTCTCCGGCCGGAGAGAGCCTCCCCTCCGGCCCCCTCACGGCGCAGGCGGCTCCGCAGCGCCCTCCGCGACCGCGGCGGCTGCCGCCTGCTCCCCTCCCCCGCGAGAGCACCGCTCAAAGCCGCCTCGCGAGCGCACGCCTTCACTCCCGAAAAAAAAGGGGCCGCTTCGCCGCCTTATATACCCTGCTAAAAATAGCCTGCCGCCGGCCCCGCCAATCAGGACTGGGCGAATTTCGAATCGGGCCAATGGCGGGAGCCGTCACGGCCAGGCTCGGTCACGCCAGGAGGAGCCGCGGCGCTTGCCGCGCGGCGATTGGGAGGCTCTGACATCATTGGCACGCGGGGCGCGGGGGTGCGCGGCGGAGATTGGGCCGCGGCGGGCGGGCGGGCGTCATGGGATCACGCGGGGCGGAGCCGCGCGGGGCGGGGCGGGGCGGTGCGCTCGGGGCGGGGCGGAGCGCGCGGGGCGGGGCGGGGCGGGGCGCCGCGGCCGGGCAGAGGCTTGGCCGGGGGAGTCTCGCGGGGGGTTCCACTCGCAGCCGGCGCCGTGTTTGCAAATATTGTGGTGCGCGGAGGAGCGGAGCGGAACGTCCGCCGTCGGCCGCGCAAGGCGGGGGAGAGCCGCGCCGCCGTCCACCGCCCCGGGAGCCGGAGTGCCGCGCCGTGCGATTAAACTTTGCGTGAAACTTTGGGTCTTTTTTAAGCTCCTCACGGAATTAATACATACCTACATACACGTCTGTACACACGCCGCTGTTACTGTTATTATTCTTCTCGGAGGAAAGGGGGGGGGGGGCTCGGAAGCTCGAGATCAGAGGCTTGACACCCCCCCGCACGCACCCCTCAGCCCCTGCGCACCCAGGAGGCGTCCGCGTAGTGCTTTTGGTAACCAGCACTGACTTTGTTGTTGCAACTTGAGACATGGATGTGCTCCCCATGTGCAGCATCTTCCAGGAGCTCCAGATTGTGCACGACACGGGTTACTTCTCGGCCTTGCCGTCCCTGGAGGAGTACTGGCAACAGGTAAACGAGGGTGCCGGTGGTGGTGGTGTGGGGTCGGGGTTTATAAGGCGTGTTAAACGATGACCAGATTTAAAATGGAAAGGAGGAAAAAAAGAAAATACAAAAGGCCAAGTGTCATCAGCGAGCTTGGGGCGCGTTAAGCGTGAATGCGGGGGAATGTTTTGGAGCAGGTGTTTCTGTTTTAACTAAGACGGGTTTGTGGGGAGAGTGCAGAGGTGGATGTCAAGAGATGCGCAGCTCCAGCTTCTCCGCTCCGCAGCCGGCCCGGGCCGATCCTGGAGCTTCGCTGCCGCCGGCTCCAGCCACAACGAGTCCTGGCAAAAGTTGTCCGCTTGTACCAGGTCCAGGCTGCACAGCTGGGTCTTGTCACCCGAGATCCTGGCCTCGGCCAAGCGCTGCTCTTCGCCCGTTGCCGTGATGGGGTTTGTTTTGTTTTTTCCTTTTATTATTGTTTTTTACTTTCTTATTTTTCCTGGCAGTGTTGAGTAAGTAGCCCTGCAGTAGTGTATGGACACATATGCACACGTAGCTCTGTGTGTGCATGTATAATCCATACTTGTGTGTGTGTGTATCGTAGCCGTTCCCAGCGCAGGGAGCGTTGCGGAGCCCGTGAGCTGTCAGTCATATGACAGCGAGCCCCTCTCGCTAATTGCCTTGATCGGGAAGGAGGAAGAACGGAGGCTCCTTCCCTTTAATGGACATATTTTGTTGTTGCCTTTTTATCCTCCTTTTTATTTATTTTTTTTTTTTTTTGGTTTTTCTCCTTTCCCTCCCCCCCGCCTCCCGAGCCTGCCCAAGCAGCGGGCTGGCAGGAGCGGCGGTGGCCGCCCGGCGACCAGACCAAGTACCTGCTGGCTTGGACGCAGGAACCTCTCGGAGAACGTTGAAATGCAAAGTGTTACAGCCCTCACATGCACACTAATTGTATGCAATGCCTTTCCTTTTGAGTTTGGTGGTTTTTTTTCCTCCCTTTCTCCTTCCCTTCCCCCTTTCCCCTTGCAGAGAGGGAGCTTCACCGTACGTGATTGAAATGGAGCTAAGTAGTTTCCTTCAGGCATTTGGGCTTTTGGCGAGGGGCCAGCCCTCATTCCCGGTAGCCTTCAGAGGCATTTAAACTCGGAGAGAGCTTCACTACGGTCCCCATTACTAATCTACCTAATGAGGAATTTAAATTAGCCGGGAATATGAAAGTTTAACAAGATCTTAATAAATGCTTTTCTACCTGTTTTCATGGGAATTCAATTCACTATTGTGTTGTCCCTCACGAAACCTTTTTTGTTTTTAACATGCATCACGATCCAGTTACCTAATTATAGACAAATACATAAATATTGTGTGCAGTGGTTGGTTTAGTGTGGGGGTTGATTCACTGGTTTTTGTTTGGTTGTTTGGGGTTGTTTTTTTTTCCTAATTTTGCCCCACTCTAGCCTGGCCAGAACATGTGACCCAGTTTACTTTGAGCAGTGCTGGGGGAAAAAGGAGGCAGCTCCTATGGCGGCTCTGCTCTTGGACAGATGCAAAGGGGCTGTGAAGGGAATGTATGGCATTTGGGATCAGGTTTTGCTACCGGGCTTGGAAGAGATGATCTTGCTAAAATAAGTAGAGTTTGGTATGGAAACTTGATGTGTCCATTTTCTGTGTAAAGCTTCCATGTGGATCGTTTCCTATAGTGGAAAGAATAATCTCAAAACATCAGCTTGTTGCCATAACAGTTCATACCCTTTTTTTTTCTTTTTTTCTTTTTTTTTATTTTTTGTTCTCTGAAGATGGCCAGAAAGTCAGCAGGGTGAACTGAAATTGAAAACCACAGCTTCACCCATTTAGGGTTGTTTTGTGTTTTGTTTTGTTTCGTTTCATGGAGTGGAGGGGAATGTGGTTGGGGGGGGGGGGGTGGTGTGTTTGGGAGGTTGTCCATGTACTGTTGCATGTATATTTCAACAGAGTACTTTCTTGGCAGATGGTCAGGGTTTTAAAAGGAAGTCTCCCTTGGCATTGCGTGAAAGAAAGAGAGAGATGACTCATACAGTGCACTCTTGGCCAGTAGATAAAGTTCTTGTTCATTGTGGGACTCCCAGCAGGACCTCAGAGTAATTTCCCGTTTTGCATCCTATAGAATAGGACATTTCTATTCTGGAACTTTTTTCTCCACTCTCCTCTGTTGTTGAAGTTCCCCATGTTCCTGCGAACACGCATGGGAGCAGTTTGAGTTACGTGGTGTGCATGCCAGTGTGCTTGGAAATGACATTCTTTGAAAGTCGAGTGTGCTGCGTTCTCATGCACAGGAAATGGGAGGATGTCTGCTGCTCCATTGATGTCCCCAGAAGACGGGCCAGCAGCTCCGCAGCCATGCTGAAATGTGGCTTTGTTTTCTGACACAGCGTTTGAGTTTTAGCTGCCTGTCAGAGCACATTGTGTTCACTTGGGTCCTTTCAGCCTCATGTTTGTGTCAGATACAAAACAACTTGAAATTAGATGAGGCGCGAGAGCAAAGTGTAATTATTTGTTGTGGTTCTCTGTGGTCCTTTTCAATGTCAGCTTACTGAAAACACAGATTTTATGATGAGAGTGATGATAATTTGACTGACTCATTAGAATGCTATTTTGGAAACCAAAGCTGACTTGCACCTTCAGCTGTGTGTTTGAACTCCTGCCCAGGTCTCAAAAACAGATTTCTTTTCATCGTAACAGTCACCTAGTTACGGCTGGAGGAGCCTTTAATTTGTTTTGAACCTAGAAACCTCAAATCGAGCGCACTACGTTCCTGCATGCTTTTTGAAGTGTAAACTACAATTGAGTTTATTTTTAAGCAAGGTTGTGACTTTCATCTTTTTTTCTTCCTTCTCTTTCACCTAGACATGTTTGGAGTTGGAACGGTATCTTCAAAGTGAACCCTGTTACGTTTCTGCATCTGAGATCAAATTTGATAGCCAAGAGGATCTCTGGACCAAAATTATTCTGGCACGTGAGAAAAAGGAGGAATCTGAACTGAAGAACATTTGTGTCGCAAAGGAGGACAATCTTACTAGTCAGAACTTAGAGACCAACAGTTTAAATTCTGATGTGAGCAGCGAATCTTCAGACAGCTCTGAGGAGCTCTCGCCCACAACAAAGTTTACCTCTGACCCTATAAGTGATGTTTTAGCCAGTTCAGGAAACTTGAGTTCATCTGTCACTTCCACTCCCCCTTCGTCTCCTGAGCTGAGCAAGGAGCCTTCTTCCCAGATATGGAATTGTACCCCGGGTGAGTTGCATTCACCAGGGAAAATTCGTACCGGTACAGCTGGAAAGACTGCAGAAAAAGGTACACCCGCCAATGGTGACACCTCGCCAGATGGCAGAAGGCGTGTTCACAGGTGTCATTTTAACGGTTGCAGGAAAGTTTACACCAAAAGTTCACATCTGAAAGCACATCAGCGCACTCATACAGGTTAGTAACCCTATTGCTTATTAAGAATTGGCAAGTGCTGTAGGGAATACCCCTGATGATGGTGGTGTCACATTGTTACACAATCACTGGGTGGGAGCCCAGGTTTGGAGAGATGATATAATAGTAATAGAGGCTTACCAGCATGGACATCACTTCCTCATTCTTTCTGTAAGTGAGCTGAAGCCAAGGCAGTTGGTGGTAGATTAGTGTGCTGTCATAGCAAATGGGAGCCACTCATCTAAATCGGCAATAGTAGTGAAGCTGCAGCAGTATGCAGTCTTCGGGAACAAAGATCTAGCCAAAGTAGACGCTAAACCTTTCTTGACGTTTATTTCTAAAGCAAAAGAGAGCTGAGACTTTCTTGCAAAAAAAACGGAACATCGGTCATCTGAAAATCAGATCATTAAATCCCTGTTTTCACGGTTTGGTCTGCATTGGATCTGTTCAATCAGACATCCCAAGGCCTTGATTATATAAAGTATAGCTATAGTTGTAAATCATTCAGTGTTTTTGTGTGCCATTGTTACTGGCCAAAATCTTGTCACAGTAGTCCTTCTAACATATTTGGGCTTACAAAAATGTATGGTCTACTGTATAGTTTCCTCCCAAAATGCTGAACAACAGCATTTTGTTGTTATGGAACCTGTACTAAAATGAGCAATCCTGTGTGTTACTGGGAAAGAAAGTGAGGAGGATAAGACACTTCAGGGCTTTTATAAATATTTTATGGTTGAAGTAGCACGCTGATTTGCTTGCTTGAGCATTATTATTTGACATGTCTTTATGACAGCAGTTAAATATGTGGAGCTGGTGGAGCTGTGCCTTGGCTCAGTCGTCATCATTTAACATGAGGAATTGGCCTGGCATTCTTGGTGTACCAATCCAAAGACCTGTACATTGTGGTTTTTTTTTCCCCCAAGAAGTGGAAAGAGAATTCAAGGAAAAGATCCTGTTTTGACTCATGAGCTCAGCATTTTGTG